GGGATGTCCGTGGGGCGGGGTTCCCCATGGCACCAGCCAGCCCCATGTGCCCCATCCCTGCTGGGCTCTCACCTCGCTCATCCAGGAGGATGTTCTCCATCTGCAACGAGATGGAGGCTGTCGTGAGGCCCCGGTGCCCCATGCCCGCCTGGGGCGCTCCCGGTGCCGCTGCTGTCACCCACCTTCACATCTCGGTGCACGATGCCCAAGTCATGGAGATAAACTGGGGCGGGGGGAAATGGAGGTGAGAGAACCCCGAGCAGCGACCGCCCCGCGAACGCTGTCCGGCCCGCGAGCCCACGACTCACCCAGCACCAGCACCAGCTCGGCGGCGAAGAGGCGGACGGTGGCCTCGGCAAAGCGCCCGGCAGCCTGCCACCGCGCATGCAGGTCCCCCGCGCTGCAGTAGGTGCACACTGCGGGCACGGGACTTACTGCTGGGCTGCCCTGATGCCCCGGGGCCACGGAGGCACCGGGAATGGGCAAGAACCGGCACCAAGTAGGTGCCAGGGTGGCAAAAGCACCAGGGCAAATTGGGCACTGGGGCTAAGGTGACCCGGCACCAGGGCCATCCAGGTACTGGGGCCACACATTCAGGTGGCAAAAGCACCAGGGCAACCAGGGCTATGCACTAAGGTGACACGGGCACCAGGGCCACACAGGCACTGGAAACATGCAAGCATTGGGGTCACACAAGCACCGAGGTGGCAAAAGCTTGAGGGCCACCTGGGTGCCCAGGCCATGCACAGAGGTGACACAAGCACTAGAACCACAACAAGCAAGGGCTAGGGCCACACAAGCAGCAAGGGGACAAAAAGCAATGGAACCGTGTAGGCAACGGGCACTGAAGCTGCTCGAGCACCGGGGATGCGCAAGCATCAGGACCAGGCGGGCGCAGGGACCGGAGCAGCTCGTTCAGCTCCCGCCTGGCCACGTCCTCCCTTGCCCCCTCCACAAGAGCTGCTGCAGGGGGGCCGCGGGGACGCGCTGGGGACACAAAACAGAGAGGCTGAGAGGTCCCTAGGTGGGGGGGCTCCGCTGCTGACACCCTCCCTTAGCAACCCCAAGCCCCCTGGGCACCCTGTGGACCTGTCCCCAATGCCTGTTGTCCCTTGTCCCCTCTCTACCTGGATGCTCACTTCCTCTTTGCACTGCTTGAGGGTGTCTCGACGCAGCACCTCCACCTTGGGCACAACCTGGGGACAAGGGGCTGTCAGCAGAAGGGGGGACATCGCAGGGGGCACCCCAGTCCCAGTGGCAGCACCCACCTTCACGGCGCAGACCTTCTCCCGCCCGCAGTCCAGCACCTTGAGGATGGTCCCGAAGGAGCCTTTGGCCACGAATCCCAGGATCTAGGTGGGGAGCAGGGGCTGAGCCCCCTGTGAGCCCCCAGGGTGCTGCCCTGACACAGGCACCCATGGGGGGCTGCCCTGCAGGGGGACATCCGTGCGTGCCCGGGGTGGGTGACATCTCTGCTATGGGGCTGAGGTCCCTGGTAGGGGGTGAGGAGCCTGCAGGGTGCCCAGCAGGTAACAAACTGGGGACATACAAAGCCCCTGGCATAGGCACATGTTGTCCCAAAGGTACATGGGGACATGGAGGCGCTGTAGGGTGCATTGGGATCCTGACAAGCTGCATGCGGACCCCGAGCTGGGACACATAGGATCCCAATAGGACACGTGGGGACCTCACTGCTGTGCACGGGGACCCTGAAGAGAGTCACGAGGACCCGACGCGCGTTGCACAGGAAGGAGGTCGGGAGGTCGGGGATCCCGGGACCATGCACGGGGACACGGTAGGACGGTCGGGGACCCGCCACGGCGTGTGGAGGGATCCGGGTAGGATACGGAGGGACCCGCGGGACGGTGAGCGGTGCCGGCAGGACGCACAAGGACCCGTCGGGTGTCCGGTGGACGCCCGGGATGGCGCTAAGCGACCCCGGGAGGGGACAGCGGGGGTCCCGGACGGCACCTTGAGCTGCTGCTGGCGGGCGGAGGGGCGCACGGGGAACTCCGGCAGGAAGAGCGAGACGAGCTGCGGCCACCCGGGCCCCGGCGGCTCCTCGGCGGCGGCGCCGC